CACCGCAGCACCTCATAAAATTCTGCCCAATCCCCCAAGAACATGCTGTAAAATTACCTTCCTGTATCCTAATCAACCCAAAGTGCTATTCTTTCAATGAAGGAGCTTAGCTAGATATAGTAAAAACAATTAACAAAAGCCCATTTTGAATGACTCTTACTCTCACTGGATATGGCTTAAGGAGGGAATAACATACCCACTCAATTGAGTATGGAAATCTATCTTACCCTACAGCAAAACAGGGGGGAAGGAGACAAGAGAGGCGGGTGATAAAATGGAGGGCAAATAGGGGTAGTGGGGATCAGAAGTAAACACTTCTGAGGAGGGACATGGTCAAAAGAGAGACTAGAATAAACAGGGAGCGGATTAGGATGAAGAGAAATATAGTTAGTTTTTCATCACATGACTACTATGGAAGTGTTTTGAATGACTACACACGTATAACCTGCATCAAGTTGCTTGCCTTCTCAATGAGGGTGGGTGGGGAGGGAGGAAGGGAGAAAATTTGGAACCCAAAGTTTTAAAAACAAATGTTAAAAATTGTTTTCACAGACAACTAAGAAATAAGATATACAGGCAATGGGGTATAGAAATCTATCCTGCCCTACAGGAAAACAGAAGGGAAAGGGGATAAGAGAAGCGGGGGAGGGTGATAGAAGGGAAAGCAGATCAGGAGAAGGGGTGTTCCGAATGCACACTGTCTTGGGGCTGGACAAGGGACGAGATCAGCAGAAAATTTGGAACTCAAGATCTTGTGGAAGTGAATGCTGAAAACTAAAAATAAAGAAACCAAAGCCCATTGTGGTTTAACTCTTAACTTGTGAAAGAGCTAAGATCCAAAAGTAGAAGCAACTGGCAACATCCACGAAATCAACCAAGTAAAACACAGGCCAAGAGCTGGGTCATAAGAATTTGCCTAGAGAAACATATTTAATATTAGGATGTAAAACTAAGTCAATGCCACCAGAAACAACTAAAAGGTCATTCTCAAAGAGCTCAGACTTACTGATCTATGCATTTTCTGCAAGGAAACGACAGAAACTGTAACCATATTGTCACAGGTTACAAAAATTCAGCACCAATATCAAGAAACATATAATTACATACCAAAAGCTCACTATCTTTCATAAATTAACAGATAACAAATCACTACACTCCCAAAAAAACTCAAAATACACTTGAAAATTCAACCAATGAGCTTCTGGAACCAAAGCATCATCTGACAAAACACTGACTCATAAAATTTTAAGAAATGTTTTCAAAAGATGTCACTATATCAAACAGTCACAATCACTAATACATGTGAAATGAAAAGCTCTCAAAACAGAAAGACCTAGCAGAAGAAAATCAAAACAATGTGGATAAAGTACCAAGTATAAAACATACCCATCATCCTATCTGTTACTGGAGTTGTCTACTGATGCTTTCAAGTGAGCCTACAGAAGAAGGGCTTCCATCCCAATACTTTTATTCAATTATATAAAGCAATCAATGTGGCCATCTGCACAATAACCTGCTGAACATTAAACATAAAAAAAACAGCCCCAGGACCATTTCTAGCTCTCTGTTATCAAGTATAAGATGAAGAGAACAGCCACACAACAATTATACTTACACAGGTTTTAAAGTTTACCAAGATGTTTTCATACTCATTATTTTACTCTTCATAAATACTCATACTCATTACTGTACTGCATCTTCATGATGATCCTGTGAGACAGGTACAGCAGATACAAAATCTTAAGGTTGAAAGTGATCTCAAACACCATCCAGCCCAACCCATGACCGAAAAAGAATCCCTACAAGCAGCAATTCAACATGTGCAGTGAAAATATCAAGTGAAAGGGAAGCCTCTACATGCCAAGACAGTCCTTTCCACACTTCAGAATATCTTTAAGCATTCTATTAGGGCTCTGGTTTTTATTATTCTGTTTTCCGAAACCCATTTACAAAGCTAATGTATCTAGTAGCTTCTCAGTCCTCAATCTCATTGACCTCTTTGGAGCATGGCCTGCCTTCTCCTTCAATAAATCTCCACTGGTTTTCATGACACATTTTGTTCTGATTTTTCCAAAACATCTGACCAATCCTATTCTGAGTGTCTTTTGCAATATCAAGGGGGGGGGGGGCAGATTGGTGTTTCACAGGTTCCACAGGATAACAGAATAACAGATTAAGAGTTCAAAGGTGGTGCAGCTAGGTGGCGCAGTGGATAGAGCTCCAGCCTTGGAGTCAGGAGGACCTGAGTTCAAAAGGTGACCTCAGACACTTGACACTTACTAGGAACCTCAGAGCTCATCTATTCCAACCTCTATATTTTACATATGAGGAAACTGAGGTGAAGAGAGGTTAAATGACTTAACTAGGATCACACAGCTAGGAAAGGCCCAAGGCAGAATTTAAACTCAGGTGTTCCTCACACCAAAACCAGCATCTGTCCCTTTTACCACCTACATTCCTCAACCACCTTCTCTATTCAGATGACTCCCCAGTCTACAGTCTTTCTCTCCAGAGTTCCAGGGTCCTGAATCTCCAGATACCTGCTAGGCATTTCCACTTGATAAGCCATAAATATCTCAAACTCAATATGCCCAAAACAAAATCTATTATCCTTTCCCTTTAAAGTACCCCTCCTCCTAACTTCCCTATTTCAGTCACCATTCTTGTAGTCACCCCGCTAAGCAACATAAATTTATTTTTCCTTTGGCACCTCTATCATTCCCACCCCCCTCCCACTTAAAAAGAAATATAAAAACAAAACCCTTCTAAAAAATATTCCAATCTACCTTTTCAAACTAATTGTCACTCCTCCTCATTCATGCTACATTACATCCAAACAGGCCAATGCTCTATTTTCAGTATACAACATTCCAGTGTCCATCTATGTCTCTGCACAGGCTGTCTGTATGTGGAGTTCTCTCCCTCTTCCTCATCTCCAATTCTATGAATCCCAGATCTCTTCAAGGGTCAATTCAAGTGCTACTTCCTTCAAAAAACCTCTCCTAAGTCCTCCAGTTGTTAATGATCCACACCCATACCCACACCCACACCCACACAAGATAGATAAATGGATAAATAAATTCTTCTTTGTAGGATCACAGATTTGGTGCTATAAGGCACCACAGAGGTCATCTCATCTGGTTTCCTAGAACAAAGGCCCAGCAAGGTTGAGGGATTTTTTTTAAGGTGACAGCAGTAGTAAGTGGCAAAGCTATGATTTGAACCCATGTTCCCCAAGTCCCTTCCTTCCAAACAGCCACCTTGTTCATTCATCCAGTAATTTTATAAGTCCCCCACTAAGAGGTAGACATTTGGCGAGATGGAGGATAACATCTATAGGCTAAATAGTTTTACATAACTTACAATCTAAGAGAAGAGATGAGGACAGTAAGATTTAAGGGTATAAGGACCCTTCAAAATCATCAAGTTCAAACTCCTCATTTTACAGAGAAGGAAAATGAGTGGCTCAGTGATCCACTGGGTCACACAAGTAATCAGGAGTTCCGAACACAGCACCAGGCTCCAAAACTGAGGTTTTATATTCCACCACTCAACCTGCTGTGCCTATGGAAGGACTTAAAACACAGCTCCAGGTAGTTTTATTTTGTTTTATAATTTTCATTCTGCAGGCAGCTATTAATCCTGAACTAGTGAATTTTACAAAATGAACCGTGACCAAAAGTAACAGGCAATGTATTTCCCACTACACTTAAAGGAAGTGTTAAATGTGATTGATTCTGTTCAATTAAACAAACATCAAGCCATGAACATTAAACATAAAAAATTAAAAAGAATTTGAGGAAGATACCCAGATGCCAAGTTTTCATTTAATATTTTTCTTGAATATGTCTAATTCATAGATGCACAAGTTTTATCTCCTAAAAATGCTAAACTCAAATGAGAATCTCCTGTAAAAATTCTTCAATAAACCCTCTATCAGGATAGTGAAGTATAACTGAAAGCATTTTAAGTTTATCTTACAATCTGAAGATGACAGCTTTAACTAGAGTTCACATAGAGTGAAAAATGATGGAGTAGGGAAAGCAGCATTTCTTTATAATGATTTATGGTCAGTACTGCTAGTTTCCCACTGCCTCCCTATGACTTGGTGGCTACCAGAGGCTCTTGCACAATTGGGCAAGTGAAACACAGTGAAGTAAAAAGGATCAGGCTAACAAGGAACAACAAAACAAACTAAGTGCTGCAAAATGATAACTAACGATCAAGCTTGGCCCCAAAGAACAGATGCGAAAAGACATTCATTCCCTGTCCATGGGAATGGAATACTGCATATAATGTCCATTTGGATGTGCTGGATGGTTTTGCTGAACTTTTTGAAGTTCTTTATTCTAAAGGATGGCTATGGGGGGTTGGGGGGAAAAGAGATAAAAGGCAGCCAGTTAACAAGCATTTACTAAATGCTTCTCATGTACCAGATGCCACTAAGCAACAGGGATACAGAGAAAGGCCAAACTAGTCCCTGTCCTCAAAGAGCTTACATTCTAACGGGAGGGTCAACAAACAACTACGTACATACAAGATCTATAAGCGGTAAATTGGAGGTAATCTCAAAGGGAAGACATTAGCATTAAGGGAGACCAAGACAGGCTTCTTGCAAAAGGTGAGATTTTAGCAGAGACTTCACGGAAGCAAGAGAAACCAGGAAGAAAGGAGAAGGGAGAGCATTACAAGGATGGGGAACAGCCAGTACAAAGCTTTAAAGTCAGGAGAGAGCGGCTTGTAGGAAGAACTGTGAGGAGGTCACTAGGGTGTAGAATATGTGCTAGGGATTAAAGTATAAGAAGACTGGAAAGGTGGAAAGGGACTAGATTATGAAAAGATGATTTTATATTTGCTCCTGGAGGCAAAAAGGAGCCACTGGAGTTAACTGAGTAGGAGATGAGGGTGCCATGGTCAGATCTGTATTTTAGAAAGATCTCTTTGGTAGCTGAATGGATGATGAACCAGGAGTAGGGAGAGACAGTGGCTGGGAGACTCACCAGAAGGCTAATGCCAACAGTCCAGGCCTTGAGGTGATGCAGACCGGAGTGGTGGCAGTATCAGAGGAGAAGAAAGGGAAGGAGAGATGCTGTGAGGGCAAAAAAAAAAAAAAAAGAAAAAGAACCTGTAAATCAACTGAATACTGAGAAATCAAAATTTACACCTATGTCACCACGTGGTTATCTGGGAAAATAGTGGTACCCTCAAATGTAATCAGTTAGAAGAGGGGGAGGTTGGGAAGAAAGATAATGAATTTAGTTTTGTACATGTTGAATTTAAGAGTCTACTGGAAAGGGCAGTGCAGTGAATAGAGCACTCACCCTAGCAACAAGAAAACCTGAGTTCAAATCCGACTTCAGACACTGCTGTGTGACCTTGGACAAGTCACTTAACCCTGACTGCCTCAAAAAAAAAAGTCTACTGGATAACCAGTTCTAAATCCCCAATGGGCAGTCAAAGATGAGAGAATGAAGGTCAGGAGAGAGGTTACGGTTGAACAAACAGACCTGAAAATTATCTGCATAAAGATGAAAATTAAATCCATTGAAGGTGATTTCACCAAGCAAAATAGCAGAGTGGGAGAAAAGAGGGCTCAGTACAGAGCCTTGGGAAAAACCCATGATTAGTCACGTGGATAAAAAGAAACATGCCCGATACAAAAATAAAATATAGCAATAAAAATTCATTTTAAAAAATAAAACAAAAAAAAATTTAATTTTCTGATAATTTGAAAACGTATAAGTGTTCTGCATTAAAGTTAACAGAAGTAGAACTTTATAAAAGATATGTTTCTCTGGTTACATTTTATCCACTATAGCAGAATATAAATGCTAGACTACAGAGCACCAAATCTTTTTGATCTCCTAGTTCCTGGAGAAATATACAAAGTTCGTAACTGCTTCTTTTCATAACCTAAATTTTTATCTGAACTGTATACTATAATCCCTTCTGAACAAGTTAATGGAAAATGTGAACAAGTATAATCATAAAAATGTTTGTTAAATCCATATACCAAAAGTTTTTATTTTCCATCCCTAACATCTGTATAACCACCTAAGTAAACAGAAGTACTTGCTAATTTTATTTCCTTTCTTTATGTCTTAGTAAAAAGGCTGTAAGGTCTAAATTTTTAATGGTTTATCAATAAAATTGGTAGTCCTATTAATGTCTAATTCAAAAACAGAAACAAACTGGCAAATCCCTCAACTGCTGAAAAATATAAACCAAATAGTGAATTAGTCCAACTGTTTTAGAAAACAATTTGGAATTATGCACAAAAGGTAACTGGAGGTCAAAGACAAAAAGAAGGGTCCCATGTACACCAAAATATTCAGAGCATCCTTTTTGTCACAGCAAAAAAAAGTGGGAAACAAAGTAGATGAGCACTGCTTGGGAAATGACTGAAAAACTGTAGCAAGTGAATATAATGGAATTATTGAACAATAAGAAATAATAAAAGAATTCAAGGAAACTTGGGAAGACTGGCATGAATTGAAAAAGAGTGAAGAAAGCAAAACATATACAATAAAATAAAATAACATTTTAAAAAATCTTAGAATTATGATTAACTTAATGATCCATTTTGATTCCAGAGGTAGTGGACAGATGTAGAATGCTGCATGCAGTTAGGCAAACAGACCCTGTCACAAGGGAAGGGTAGTATTAGAAAGTGATTGCATTTTGTTTCTTTTTTAAGCTTCAATCACCCCCATCAACTGATGAATGTTTAAGGGAACTCTGGTACTTAAATGTAATGGAATATTACTGATGAATATAAAGACTTCTATAATCTGCTGTAAAGTAAGTAGAAACTGGAAAACAATATACACATTACTACAAAAATGTGACTGGCAAGGACAAAAAAAGAGTAACTATAATTGTTAATAAGCAAGCTCAGTAGGAAGATGAGCTGAGAAAATGCACTGCCCTACCTTTACTGCAAAGGTAGGAGACTATGGGTGTAGAATACTACACAGAGATACAATCAGAGGTGATTTTGAAGAATTCTTTCTCTTTCTTTCTTTTTTTAATCTGTTGTAAGGGATGATGGGAGAGGGAAGAGAGATAAAATGAAAGTAATTTATTCCTTTTATCTTTAAGCACGTACAGGCTGTCTCCATGAACAAAATATAAGGTCCCTGAAAGCAGGAACTATGTCATTTTTGTCTTTATACACCAGGGCTCTAACACACAGTAAGAACATAATAAATGTTTATTGAAAACAAGATTCTAACTAATATGGCTTAAAACGTCAGTAAGATTCTTAATAAATATGTTTAAAGCCTCAGTAAGATTCCTTTAATGCCAATAATGATGGCCTCAAATTCTATCTAAATATGTCCTTTTCACAAAGACTTGTTATTCCAATCACATCTTTTAAGAAAGGGTCAAGAAGGCTTCATAAAAAGGAGCTGCAAAACCTGAAGAGCTTAAGAACATGTCCTGTGTATAAGGAACAATTCACATATAAAATACCTATCAGTATTATGCCAGTACTTCAGAAATTAAGATGTCTGAAATTATTTTTAAAATTTATCTGATTTTAATTTTATTTGGTTCATATAGCAATAGCACATTCAATTCAAATGAAGGAAAAATTATTGCTTCCCTTTTAAAAAGTTAAATACCACGGGTATAATTTTCTAAAAAACACAGCGACTTACTCAGGGATAACAATGCAATAGAAAGATGTTATCTCATCATTTTAGCCAGAAGCCAGTTATTGAAAAGGGGGCGAGATGGGGGGCCTGTGCTAGGAGGTAACCTCCAGGGTTTTGGGTATACCATCTGACAACTAACAAGAAAGGAGATTTTTAGAATTCAGGGGGAAAAAAGACACTCTGCATCCTCAAATCCTCATTTTGGAGCAAAAATTCTGCTCTACAAGCCAAAACCTCATCAGCTTATCTTGCTCCACCTAGCTCAGCTATCTCCACTTCCAATCTAAACAGGTTTTCACTTAACAATTCAAGACCAATTAAGCTATAAAATGCTATTTTTAATTAGCCAATAGGAGGAGAAAACTGTCACTGAACTGCTGAGCATACAGGGATGAGAGGAAGAAGCAACAACTTTTCATTTAGTGTCAAGACCCATTCATTCATCAATGCTCAAGTGAATAATTTTAAAACTTTTACACAAGAGCCTGACATCTTTTTCTGATGTCAGATCAAACTAAAAATAATATTTGCTGGAAGGCACCTGTTCTGAAAATCTAGTTATTACTTTAAATAGCCTTCATGAGAGAGCAAATAAGTACAGCCCAGAGCCCACAGCCAAAGCAGCCTGCATTCCTCACCCGCCAAAGTTGAAATCTTGTACATGAGGTAGAGGGGTCACCTAAACCATTCTTACTCTGGCCCTTCATAGTTCATTTCTCAAGAATGAAATTGTCACTGTTTCAGGGTTTAAATACTCTTAAATTGCTAACATCAGTCAATTATCCAGTCTTTAAACTACAAATCAGGTAGTTCCTAATATCCCAAGGCTCAGTTTGACTTCATCCCTTCTCTCTTTCATAACCCAACTTCTAGACTCTATACCTCTCCTTATCTCCCAATCACCTCTCAACCCCTTACCACACAGCTTCTCACCCAACCATTCAACAAACTGCTCTCTAAAGAGCTTCTGAACTGTAAAACTTAGTCTTTTCTCAATCCTTATTCTACTTTGACTCTACAGCTTTTGACATTGCCAGGCCCATGCACCTTTATCAATACTCTCCTTCCTCAGTTTTTGTGATGCTACTCTCTTGGATAAACTAATTGATTAGTTAGTTTTTTTTAAAATATATATTAGAAAGAAGTAAATCAATGGAACAGTCTAGACAAGGGAGAATAAGGAATAATGAAACTCAATGAACCAGTGTTCTTTGATAAACTGGAAAAAATATAAATTACTTAGTAAAGAATTCATTATTTGATAAAACTTCTGGGAAAACTGGAAAGCAATCTGGCAGATCAACTCCCAGGGAAATATTTAACAAAAAAAAAAAGCTATTCCCAACAGATAAGTGGTCTGCTGATATGAACAAACAAGTATGGTACATTGAACATATTTTCAGACTTATTCTATGTATTGAGCAGTTGTACTTATTTTTTTCTTCTTCTTTGTCTTGCAAAAAAATATTGTTATATAGGATGTTCCAGGCACTACACTAAGCATTTTACAACTATTGTTTCATATAACCCTCACAATGACCCTGGGAGATAGGTGTTGCTACTATTCCTACTTTACATTTGAGGAAACTGAGGCAGACAGGTTAAGTGACTTGCCCCAGGCCACACAGATAGTATTTAATTCGAACTCTAGTCTTCATGACTCCTAGGCTCAGTACTTTATATGCTACATCACCTAGCTCTCAAGAGGAAAAGAGCAATGGATACTAGGAGAAATTTTGGTATTTTTTTTAAAAAAGCTACTAATAAAAAGTTATTTAAAAAAAGAAAAAGCTTTTAAGTACTTACTATTCTCTGGGCACTGCAATAGGAGATGAGTATACAAGACCCATTTATTCATCTGCCCTCAAGTGGCTTCCATTCTAAATGGGTGGGATAACATCCTTGATGACCTTAACAGCTCCTATATATTCAATTATCACCTCTAAATTTGTTCAAGGTCACCTAAATGTATATTTGCAATCCTATTCTCTTTCCTTTTGTCCAGCTCCATGTTGCCATAATTTTCAAATTTGGAAGGGAGCCCAGTGGCCCTCTAGTCTAACATATGCCTCAAAAGAATGCCAAGGACGACATAAGCAGGAAGGTATCCAGCCTCTGCCTGAAGGCCTCTACTGAAGGGGAAGGGCGACCCATTCTATGTTATAATTTTTTCCCCCAACATCAGACCCAAACCTACATCATTGAAACTTCTACCTCACTGCTCCTAGTTCTATCCCCCAAAGCCAAACCAAATAGTCTACTGCCTCTCCTATCTGGCAGCCTTTCAAATATTTAAAGATAGCTAGCTATTATGTCCATTTTGTAGAACACCTCTACCCCCACCCCCTCCTTTCCCTACCCCAGGCTAAACATCCAAATTGAAACTCAAATAACAGGAATCCAGGCCCTTACCATCCATAATCAAGCA